CCGTATAATACCGTATTTTATAAGTGGATAATTTAGCGAGACGCAAATTTAGCGATTTGTCCTTAAAATTGGTATTTTATTTTTAGCGAAATGTAATTTTAGCGATTTAAAGCTCTCAAAAGAAGCTATTTAAGGAATCACTGTCTAGATAGTATAGTATGCCAGGGCATCAACAATAGTGGGAAACATGGAATAATTTGCATAACGGTTTTTTTATGTTAAATTATCCCATGTTTCCCACTATTGTTGATGTCCATGGCATAGTCTCATAACTAGACAGTGATTTCGTATATTTTCATTTTTACTTGAAATAACAATCTTTGAATAAATCAAAATACCGTCTAAATTACTAGATTTGAAATGCACGAGGCAGTCCATGTTATTTTCCATTGCCTCGTTCCATGACGTCAAATTTTACATTAAAAAATAATTCCATAAAAACAAGAAACAAATTTAATGACTGTTTATAGTTACTGTAGTCAAATTTCAACATTTATCAAATAAACAACAAATAAACAACAAAATAATGTTAAATTATGATCAAAGCAATCTTGTTAACGTTAATCATATATGTGACCTAGATTTAGGTTTTCGGAAGCACAAACAAGTGTATAGGCCCTAGCTAGGATACTTCTCCGCCGTCATATTAAATGCAGTGTTGCAGTTGATGAAACGAGAGTTGGTCAGGAAACCGATTTGTGTGGATGTTAAAATAGCAGAGGAAGTTGAGTTGCTTACGAAGTCGGATGGTAATGACTGAGGGACGATGTCTGTATCAGATTATGGAGTGTGGCTGTGCCGTTTTCTCCTCGTGCTCAAGATAGGCTGTTTACGGAAGTGGAGTACTCGGCCTCGCTGATAATGGAAAGCGTTGCGCTAGTGACTTGCTTTTGATCCGAAGATAATTCATTATTTATTATGTTTGTATAAAAGATATAACATATCTAATTACTTAGTAAACAGTTAAATTTATACGCCACTCATATATACACGCAAGTTAACATTTGACCTTTCAGTAGTGTTGCAATAGAGAAAAATACATACCAAGGTATTAAGAAGAAATTAACAAGATGGACTTTTGTAGTGTTCATCATAGAGAAAATAATTGGAAATGGAAATATTACAAACAAAGCGCAATTAAGTTTTGGCGATATTCAATTTTGGCGATCTTGGCATCCAAGCCAACAATGCCAAAATTCAATCTTCCTACAAATTCTGCATATACGGTAATAGAAATAAGTGATCGGGGGTTCGGGTCTCTTTACATGCATCGCGTCAATCCTTAGATATTTCTTCTTAAAGACAATAGAAGTGCAAGTAACAGGTCTCTTGCATATGACCTTAGAATCATACTTTGTCACGGTAGGCATTGGAATACTAAAAAACCTTCACCGCTCACTTATTGTAAGTGCTGATTATAGTTTATAAATGTGAAGCTCTTCACTGGTATTTTGTGAGGTACCTGCATATGAGTGAAAAACGCTTGCAAGAGAATTCTCTTAAAATAACAATTAATAAATTATTTTTTTATCTATCACTTTAATTGCCACAATCATAATTACGTGTACAAGTATGCATCTACAAAATTTTCCTTTGAAATTTTTATTATATAGTAGAGCTCACTTTGAAATGAATGTTAGATATGATTTTGATAAATTTAAAAAATTTCTATTTTCCTAACATTTTGAAAATCATTTCACCTGCAATATTTCTTTTGAGTTTCGTTGCAGAAAACTATGTATGTTTATCATTTTACATCTACCCTAAATACTCAAACCATGATTATAACTCATATTTTTGTAAACAAAAATATTTTTATTTCTCTTGGATTACAAAAAGTCATCTAAAATCAAGATTATAATCAATCTTAATCCTAGCAGTGGTAACAGTTCTTTCATTTCTAACTTTATAGACCATAGCAATTTTATCTTAAAATTTAAGGAATGAAGCTTATTTCAATTTATATTATCCGATATACATGTAAAACTTGGGGTAGTTTACGCTTTATAAACTGCGAAGCGTAAACTTCCCAAGTTTTGTTATATCGTATAATATACAATTATGGACTGTTTAGAAGGGAAACATCACCAAGCGCCCTCGGGTGACAACCCTACTCAGACCTGATGATTGGTGATGTCTCCCGTCTAAACAGTCCATAATAGTTTTATTATCCTGAAGAATCTTCATTGTCATTTGAAGGGAGATAACAGTTGTCACCCTGCGCTTGAGGGAGACATCACGAGTTGTCTCCCTGCACGTGACCTGCTCTAAACCAATCAGATTGACTGTATAATTCTGAAGGATAATAATATAAGTTGAAATAAGCTTCATTCCTTATAATTTAATTTCAGTGTAGACAATGAGACAATTTTCCTCCAAATATTGAGCATTATTTTAAAAGTAACGTCAAGCGGAGTAAGACTTACGTTTTTGACGTAACTCATTGTGAAGGCAACTTATGTTATACGAAATAGATAAAAATCTTTTATCCAATAAAATAACGTGTTACAACTAAAATTAAATTATTTTTAAAAAAAAGTAACTTACATGTTGCCCTTTCGGAGTTTCTTCCAGAAATTCAAGTTTGCCGCAAAAGCTTAGTGCGAATCTTCTTGAAACAGAGACAATTGTACAAACCAATTATAATAGGAGAGGGATACCAATTTGTGGGAAGAAAAAAGGGGAAAGAGAAAGAATTTTTCTCTTTATTTTGTTATTTGATACATGTAGCACCATCAGATGTAGAGTGTACGTGAATTTTTTCTTGACACTTTACACAAAAGTTGGTGTAGTCTGTACATGGAATTTTGCAATGACGTTGTTCACTTTGTACATTTTCGTATTGGCCGATAGCGGTCGTCAATTTACACTAATGTTATGTGTGTAAAATGTACAGCATTTTTTAACGAAACTCAATGACAAGTTACACTTGAAACAAAAAGTGTACAAAGTGTACAGCGTCATTGCAAATTTCCATGTACACTCTACACCAACTTTTGGGTAAAGTGTCTCGAAAAGTTTCACATACACTCTACATCCAAATGTAGTATCTAGTAACAAAACAAGAAAACATTGATGTAACCATCAATTGTGGCCCGGGAAATAAATAAAGTAAACAATGGAAATGAGTCTTGATCATCAAACCGCTTCGATATGTCTCAGAAAGGCATGCGTCTAAATATGGAGACGATAATCGAGAATATTTTGAAAACTTCGTCGGATAAATTCGAACAAAAACGATACCCTTTTAAACTTGATCATTCCTCAAGTTAATTTTAGCTGTATAAAGTATAAACTGAAGCCAGACACATGCATCACCCATTTTCAATAATGTATTTCACTTTATGAATATAAAACCAGAACTGTGTACAGTACGTTTTTATTGCGATAAGTAAAATTCGATGTTCTAAAAAAGGAGACCTGTAGTTTTTTCGATTGTAAATGATAAGGAACTTTATTTATTAAATATAAAAAACACACATATTTTTACATATTCACTTAATGCTTATAGCTTGATCTGTTTAACCATATTTGTTTTAACAAATTAATTAACTTTTAATAAAAGAGTAATTTTGTACTGTACATGAATGCATTATATTATATATATATATATATATATATATATATATATATATATATATATATATATATATATATATATATATATATATATATATATATATATATATATATATATATATATGTGTGGATTTATGAACAATTGTGTGACATTGTGATACTTATTTTTACAGATATACATTTATTTATACTTTAAAATCATCTTTTTAATATACCCCGTATTTTAGTATTTTATTCTATATGCTAAAAATTTTGATAACACAAGTACAATTTTTGCTCTCATAATATTTTCAGATGTTTTTGGCGCAATTTTATTGCATGACGTTGCCTCTCAATTTTTATGTTTTTATGCATTTAAATAAACACGACTGATGAAGGCCGGTAACACGGTTGAAATATTTCGAAAAGTGTTTTAAAGTTTTTTATTATATATAGATATATATATATATATATATATATATATATATATATATAGAGAGAGAGAGAGAGAGAGAGAGAGAGAGAGAGAGAGAGAGAGAGAGAGAGAGAGAGATCTATATGTAAAGTGTGATGTCTTAATATCAAAAATGCAGTTATAAATAATTCTTTCTGCTTATTCGATTCAACTTACCAAAAGAGCTTGGAAGCATTTTTTACGTTCAAGTCTCGTACTTTTCAAGAGGTACCAATGTGGGGGAAGACAAAAGGGGAAAGAGGAAGAATTTTTCTCTTTATTTTGTTACTTGATACTATCTTTAGATGTAGAGTGTACGTGAAACATTTCTAGACACTTTACACAAAAGTTGGTGTAGAGTGTACATGGAAATTTGCAATGACGCTGTACACTTTGTACACTTTTTCGTTTCAAGTGTAACTTGTCATTGAGTTTTGTTGAAAATGCTGTAAACTTTACACACTTAACATTAGTGTATATTGACGGCCGCTATCGGCCATCGTAAGATTCCGTGTCGCGGTCTGCAAAGGCACGATCAAGAACTCTCACTGTTTCATGGCCGTAAGTGCCAATAACAAGTCTTAATTTGGAGCTCTTCACTAACATTTTGTAAGGTCCTTGCATATGACTGAAAACTTTTAGAAAGACAATTTTCAAAAAGCAAATAATCAATCTTATTTTCTTTTGATCGGTTGAAGAGGCTAATCGTCAAAATAATAATTGTACTACATGTACTATACATCTGCGAAAGTCCCTCTGCTTCGAACCCTCCAAGTAAGAAACAGTTCCTTCTTCTGCGACTCAAGAGCAGAAATTCGAACCACCGCACCACGTGGGCAACTCTAACAGATATTTGTAAAACTAGTTCCCCTTAAATTTCCTCCAGAAAATGAAGCATCCTGATTACTGAGGATCATTGTGTATGTTTCTTTAATTAAATTTATTTTATGCTGAGTGTTGTTCATGGATTGATACTATATTGTTCCAGCTTCTGATCATGATTGTTCCTGGCACACAGTTTTGAAAGTATACAAATACCATCTTCTTGCTTTGGGTGGAGTGTTATCAACCCTCATGATTATCATCGACTTAACGTGCATCTATTGGTAATCAATTTCTGCTGCATAGACTTTCTCTGATATTTAATCAGTATAAAGGAAATTCATTTAAAAAATATTATTAAGTTCATCTATTGTAGGTGTGTGAAATACAAGGTTAAGAACAAACTTCAATCAACGAGAAAGGGGGAAATTCAAGAGATCTCTTGCAGACCGATCACAGAGGCAATGGCACGAATCTATAGAAATATGAACTTCGATGGAAATTCAAATTATGATCTGGTATCAAATAGGAAAAATGCAACAAAAACTTATATATTTTACAAAGAAATTGACTCTGCACACTACGATAAAGGATTCTTTAGACTAATTACTGAAAGTGGTAATTATGATTCTGCTTGGTCCAATATCTGTTCCACTCAAGTAACCCATGATGTAGAGTATGATCTAGTACGCAACGTTGGCAATCTGAAAGTCCCAGAAGAAGAGATTTACAGCAAACAGATACTTGACCCCGAAGACTTCAATACGCAACCAGAAACAAGTGCAAAAGAAAAATAATCTGATTATCCAAACGTTCCTCCATACATCACACTTGTTCAATTCAAAAATAAATCTGAAAGAACAATAGCTAATGTATCCCTTTGTGAAGTGTCTAATCAAGATCAACTCCAAGACAGAGAATCAAACATGAACAAAAATTGTAAAGCAGAAATAAACACAAAGTAACACAGCCAGGATGGGAAAAATGATAACTGCAAATCAGAAATTGTTGAATAACAGAAGGGTAAAAAGGACGAAATCATGACGTCTTTATAAGATAGGAAAAGAACCGTTGTTTTTCGGTGGAAAACAAAACTGAAAAGAGCTGTATAAACTTCTTTCTGCTTTTTTCATCTAAAAATACAATGAATACGTTAACGCATTGTGAAACAATGAGATATATATATATTAGTTTGATTTTGTATGAATTCGAATTTTGCTCTCAATGAATTTGTTAGCATTTGTTTATGTTAACAGTTTTGTGTTTTTTAGAAGATCTTACCAAATAGCATCTCACATCTGACGTTTAGAGGTTTGTGATTGCTCTGTCTAAAAAATTGTATTGTTTAATGGAATTTTGAGCTTGAGTACTGTTCGTTATCTTCATTTATTACACCTCTATTAATGTTTCCCTAAATAACATTATATCGATAGATATGACATTCCCTAGAAATCGTTATGAATGGACAAATTCCGGTGCGTTAGTCAATTGAGCTAATACCTGCTTCGAAATCTAATTCCCCGTTATTCGTAATACTTTTACTTTTACATTGATGTGATATGTGAATGGACTAATCCCCGTGTGTTAGTTAAGGGAGCTAATTCCTGCTTTGAAATCAAGCTATCTGAATCCTCTAAATTTTACGTTTGTATCGTTATACTTAACAGTTTAAAAGTATTATCATTGCGGGAGTTAGCAAGATTCAATTTTCCAAAGGCAAGGACTATGTAGCCTCGGGAAATAGTTTTGGCCTTGCGAAACTGGAATATTGCTAACTCCCTCAATGATATACTTTAAATGCATATTAATATTTCACAATAAAAATCATTGCTATTAAGACCATTTCACTGGTAAGATTTCATTCCATAATGTGTTTTCTTGAAAACAAAAAAGTTTCCAAGGAATGTTTATGATACTCCCCTGCTGGAAAAGAGGGAGGGTATATAGCGATCGGGATGTCTGTCCGTCCCTCTGTTATGCTTTGGGGATCCATCTCTTATCCAAAACTCCTTTTATACCACTGATAGAAATTTAATGAAACTTTCACTGAATCTTTATTATATAGTGCCATTGTTCAACTCTTTTTTTTTACTTTTTGATCCATATCTTCATAATAATCCTTACAAACAGAGATGCATTGCTGATTTCACCAAATGTTCTACCAAATTCTTAACTTTACTCCTTGAAAAATATTCACTGCTGTAGTAGAGAAACTTTAGACGTAATGTGCTACAATGTATACTAGAATTGGTTAAAATCAGATGTGGATCCTCAAAAACTCTTAAGAACTTTCACATCATCAAATATTTCAAAACTCTTAGACATTAAAACGTACAACGTTTCTACACTTTGTACTTGTACAACCATATACTTTAATTAAATAAATAAAAAGTTATACTTTATAATATCATTGACAACTGCTTTTCAATAAAAAAGGAACTCGGAAATTCTCACATCTTGTGTTTGGTCATCATCAAATTTACCTTTATGTTGTCAAAAAAAAAACACTGATTGTACACACAAGTGCTTTACGGTTGGTATAAAACGGATGTTGGAGATTCTCAATGATAACAACTATGTAGTCTTCAAAGACAAAATTTTCCAACAAACTGTTGGAATAACAATGGGTACTCATTGTGATCCGTTATAAGCTGACTTGTTTTACTTTCAGACGAAACAGAATTTGTTTTAAAAAATACTTCAATTTGACATTTAGATATATTGTAGCATGAAACCTAATAATATATATTTACAAATAGCAAAGGCGACTGAATCCCCTCAGTTAACTTTTTGAGGACCTGGCAGGTTCAATATATCAAATATGTGATTAAGCAATATATACAGATAAATGTTAGACTACTTGTCTTTAATCAATTATGTACAAAAAAATCAAAGTGATGCTGGCTCAATAGCGATCGGCTATTGCAGCTCGGCTCTTGCAGTTCCTACAGCTCTTTTTTTAATACTGGCTCTTACAGCGCAGTTCATACAGTTCGGATCTTGCTGGCTTCCGTGTACAGCTCTTGCTGGCTCCCACTGTCACTTTTTTTTATAACAAACAATATCTAAAGCCAGGGAAGACTTGTTCAGTCACGTCTGAAAACTTTAAATATTTATTTATTATCATAAACTAAAAATTACCTCTCGTAACAAATGGTCCGCCTGTCTTACGGCTTCAGCATCAACTTCGTAATTAAATGAATTTGCCGCTTCGCCTGTATTTATAATCTCCGTGCCAAAATAACGCCATCTAGCGGAACATGACTATAAATCAGGACTCTCACCGGAATATCTTTTCCCGGATTGTCTCAATATCGACCATAATCTAACAATTAACAATGTGTATTTTTATTGTAGAGCCATAAGAAATAACAGATATATCATCTGCAAGTTGGGACAACTTGTATTTTCACTATCGATGTTTATGCCTTTTATATTTTTATTTTTCTAAAAAAAACGTCTAGAATCTTTGCACAGTCAACAAAATAATATGGTGAAATAGGATCACCTCGTCTACACCCCCTTTCAGGGCAGAAAAACATAGAAATAATCCAATTTTAAATAACACAGGATTTTATATAGTTATAGAAACATATTATCCAGAATCTAATTGACAGATCAAAAATAAATAAGCAAAGTGTTTACTGTACGGAGTTCAATGAAATTGTATCAAATGCATTTTCGAAGTCAATAAACATTAAGAGACCAGGTACATGAATTTATTACATTTTCAAAAGTGAAATACTGTAATTTATCCATTAAATAAAGGTGATAACCTGTCACAGTGTGAAAGGATATCAAAATTATATCCTGTCACAGTGTGACAAATATCAGAAGTACAGTAACACTCTCGATTAACCTTCCCATAACGAAGAGTGTTGTAAAAATGTTCCTTGGACTGTTATAATATATAGAGTAAATAAACCATTCTGACAGTGTATAAGACTACCAAAGTTCCCCAAAATATGTTGCTAAAATCCATGTTTACAATGTTTTCAATCTCGTATCACTTAGCTATGACGTCTCAACCTTTAAACTATGACGTTATGTAGCCTATGACTGGTATATTTAAGAAATGAATTTAATTTTTGAAGATTCATGAGGTTATTAACTACGACGCTTCACGCCGGCAAATTTCATGAAGCGCGTTAGCGCTTCATGTTAAATATGCCGGCGTGAAGCGTCGTAGTTCATAACCTCATAAATCTTCAAAAATTAAATTCAGTTCTTATATTTACATTATTTTTTTGATGACTTGCCATAAATTTACGCTGTTCAACTGTCATTTTTAAAGCAATACATTGTGCACTATATTTTTTGACGTCGTGTGGTATTATCACTATTATAACGTATCAAATATGGTGATATTCATGCTCATTCGTGATACATATGTAATGTAGTTCATGAGAAAATAAACTGCATTTTATTTTGTAAAGAATCATAGGGGAAATTTTAATTTAATGGAAATTTGAATATATACAAAAAGACAAATAGGTAAAGGGAAAATCAAAGAAAATATAATAAACAGAAAATTCAATGTTTTGTAGTTGAATATGGAATTTATTTCACTCGTGAGACAGGATTTTTTTATATTTTCACTCGTGTTTCGCACTCGTGAAAATATCAAAAATCCTGTCCCACTCGTGAAATAAATTGCATATTCAACTACAAAACATTGAATATTATCTATTTCTCTTGATTCTGCTTGGTGAATAATACCACACATTAATCTAATATTTTCACCAATAAATCAACCTTTTACAAATCATGTTTTGTCTCCATGTATGAATTTACCAAAAACTTCTTTCAAAAATCTTTCAGCAATACATCCAGAAGCTAATTTATACACAAAATTTAAGAGGCTACTAGGCCGTCATTTTTTTTAAAAATTGTATTAGCTACAGTTTTAGTTGGCCACAGTTTTAGGTTATAACGCCTGTTTTGGTTCAGAACATGTTTTTTTTAAAGTATAAATCAATGATTGTTCGTGTGATAAATGTTCCAAAACCCATCTTTTTGCAAGCGAAACCATCTGTAGCTGGTCTTTTATCAGTTTTTATTTTTAAAGATTTTTTGAGCTTTTTGTTACAGGTTCTTTCTATACTTAGAGACTTTTAAAAAAACTTCAAGCTTTGATTCAAATTTTTTTCCTCAAATACTAATTTTCCCTGTAATGTCTCATTATTCTTTATCAATGATCCTTCAATTCAGCGATGATAAATACACTAAAAATGCATTTTAAACTCATCTTTAGAAAACACAGAAAGAGCAGATTCATTGTAGAAAGCCTCATTTTCAAAGCATATAAAAGAGTCCATTTTGCAACTATCGATTCATTTACCTAAATCAAACGTTTAAGAAGAATATTAACCTTTTTCCTCATAATCATGCTCGTATCTTACAAATAATATTTCATAAAGAGTCAAGAAATCATATTCTGTATTATTTTTAATATATGTGAAAAAAACTTTCATTAAAAATCCGTATAAAAAATAAAAGAAATATTAAATAATCATAATTTTGAAAGAAATAGAATTGGCAAAACTTAGGAAATAACCATCTTCTTTTCTTGTATTTGCAACCGGTAATCAGCATTAAGGGTCGCAAATACCAAACTAGAAGATAGTTATTCCCATTAAATTGTTTGTTGTTTACGTCTTATAATGGGGAGATTGAAATAAAAGATACCAGTCTGACACATCTGATTCATACTTGGATATTTTACTTGAAAAAGACATTAATGGTAATCTAACAACCAAGCTCTGTAAAACGCCGATGACTAACTTTTCTATCGTCAACTTCCATTACTTATGCAGCAATATACCTTCATCACCTGCATACTTTATGTATGCACAATTTCTAAAACTAGGTAAATTATTGACAATATCATCAGTCTTTAAAGGCATCATTTCGCAAGTTCTATGGTCGATACAACGACCTTGTCAGTAAATACATATATATTATTATAACAGTAACTTGATCCAAAGGGTCGAATCACGTCGAGTTGACAGGCGCGGATCATCAGATCTGATGATCAGCGCCTGTCAACGAGATGTGATACGGCTCTTCGGATCAAGTTACTGTTATAATGATAAATTTATTATATACCCCCCTTATAACTGGCTAAATATATTAAAATAAACCTTTAGAGATAAAATGGATAATATTAATCCATTAAACAAAGCATAATAACAAGGGACTTTTTAATGTGCAAGAAAAATAACGTCATATTTCTGCGTACTACGTCATCAGTTTCAGAGAGTGGTGATATGGATTCAGAAAACAACATGTTGGTGATCCGGAAAATCGGATCACGACGTCACGTGATAGCGTAAATTCAACAGTAAA